GGTCCCGGGTGGCCCCGGGCTCACCCCCGGACCGTGGGGCGCGGTTCCGTGTCGGCGGGGCGCGGTGGGGTCCGTGGTTTGCAGAAGTGTGCCAATGTATGAGGAGTAGAGGCGAGTCGGGTGTATGAGAAGCACAAGCAGGGGAGTTGGAGTTCAGCGCAGTGTGAGGATTTGCAGTCTCCTGTGCAAGAAGGCATGACGGACACTGCTGAAGCGAAGTTAGGAGTATAAAAAGCAGGAGAGACTGAACGTAAAATGAAGAATAAATACATTGAAGAAGCCGTAAAGGTTGATAACAGCGTGAGTTTTTTATAGGACTGTTTATGAGTAGGAAGATGAGAGGCAGAACTATAATAAAAGTGTGGAACCTTCGCTCCTTTACATTCCTGAGGAATTGTGGCCCAGACGTTTTCACCTTTAAGGCATGGACATTCTCATCTGCCAGAAGTTGTCGGGGAGCATTTTTTAAATGTTGCCGCTTTCTTGTGTGTGCTGCTTGAGCCTGGTCATCGGGTGTGTTTCACTGGGAGCTTACTTGATTTAGAAAGATACTTGGTGAGGATTTCTATCTTGAAGCACGTTTTGCTACAGGTCTACATGAGCTTGGACTTTCTGAGTATCTTGAATTAATTTATTTTTTAATTTTGTGTATGCGTCCTTCCAGTCTTTGTACTAGTGATCACGATATTTGCTAAGTTATTTCCTGTTGCCTTTTGCTGTCTTCTCTATTGCTTTTCTATAGATTAGCTCATCACGTAAATTTTACTGTACTGACTTGGCATTGAATATCCATAATAAACCCATAATATTTTTTTTTCCCCTCACTATGTTCTTGGGAGCGCTACATAATGTGAGATACTGTACTTCCTAGAGTTGTATCTTGACGCAAGTCCTTAAGAGGAAGCTTTGTTGGAAATACTACTGCTGTGGTAGATGTTTAAAAATACTACTTACGTCTTTACACTGAGATAGGAAATGTTAAGGTGGGTGCAGCTTGCATCCTGCAACTGAATATGTTCAGTTGCATTCCTGCTGATGATGAGTCCCCAGGGCAGGACCACACTTCTAGCTGCTCAGGGACATGAGTGCAGATGTATATACCAGTAAAATCTGTAATCAGGGATTTTAAAATATGATGATGTAAAGGATTTTTTTTTTCTTTAGAGGTGATTAGTGTTCTCTTTCAGCCTGTGCTCTTTCAAAATTATTGCTGATACTTATTCTGGGAAAGTATATGTGCTGGTTTTTGAGCGTGTTCACCTTTTCTGAATGATAACTCTCAGGTGGCTGTGCTGTTCCTTTCTCTGTCAAAGTTTCTAATGTTACATTAGAGAAAAATCTGTACCAGATCCTACCTCCTTGGTTACATGCTTGCATTTACGTTTCTTTTTTGTATATGAAACAAAACAATAGATTCACGCTTAGGAAATTGCATTTGTATGCGAAAGAAAGCAGGAGCACAGCGTCTGTGGAAAACAGAGGATTGAAAAGTGACTCATAAAATCATGAACGCTAAACCACAGATTTATGTATTAGGTAGTTTTGTTTTGAAAGTATGTGGCTTACAGTAATAAGGAGAACTTACGTGTCTTTCACAAGGGGAGCCACAGTGAAGAACTCCACAGCAGTACTGCGTGCTTATTACTGTATTCACCTTTTTGCTAGTCCTTCAAAACTAGATGCACTTGTAAGATTATTATTACATGGTGGGGGGAAGGTGTCTTCTATTTTTTTCTGCTATGAGTAGGGATTCTGAAGACACGTGGCCCTGGCACTGCGCCTCTAAAGGAAAAAGGAAGGAATGTAGCTATATCATAGGTATGCAGTAGCTATATATCTCAGCAGGAATAAATCCGTGATTTGCAAGGTCCCTTGCAGGTAACCTTTACATCAGTTGAAGAATCATTAGATGAAACAAATTATGGTGCTTTGACATAAGAGAAATATTTATGATATTGGGTAACTTTTCTTTTGAAATTACTGCAAACAATATTATGCTGAATTAGTTGAATGTCATGAAAGATAGATGTTTATGTGGTTCTTAAATACGTAAACTCACACTCAGTTAAGTAAAATTCTACCGATAATCCAGTCTTTAACTGAATATAGTAAGAAGCTTTGTTATGAGCAGGTTGTTCCTTAAGTAGTTCTTGCACCTTTTTCTGAAATGTAGTTACTGATTATCAGTTATTGTGTTTCTTAATTTCACCTGTTTGCCTTCTGGGTCTGATTTTTTTCTTTAGTGGTTTTTTTTTAGGCTAGTGGGAAGTGATACAAATTCTTCTTGGTTTTGAGATGTTCTCATTATTGTCTCTAACTCTGGTATCTAAGAAGAACCCACTCTTCTGGCTGTTGAAATAGAGACTGCTGTTCAGCAATGTGACTATGAGGCAGTTCAGTTTTCCAAGTCTTAACATGAATTTTGCTACTGAAGCAGCAGCAATAGCCCAACAGACTCAGATTTGTATTTCTTCATTCTTATTCATCAGTCTTGCCATGAATCTCTTAAATTTTTTATTTCCATCTAGGCATGTTCAGTATTGCTTGTTGTCCTTTAGTCTGCCCATTCCCCAAGACTGTGTACAGAGTTATTCACTGACTTGGTAACTACCTTCAGGCAAGAAAGTATCATTTTTATCCATTGATCAGTTAGTAGCCAGGGGAAAAAACAGTATAAATTGAAGCAGAGTAGAATACTTCAGGGTTTATAAGAATGGGAGTTGTAAATTGAGAAAAGTTATGTAGGCCCTCTAATGGGTATTTCTCTTGAAGTATCACAACACAGTATCTTGAGTTGTGATCCTGTTAGACGATTTCTTGAGGCAAGAGAGTTATCTTGATTGGAAAAAAAGTAACCAGTAGTTTTATTGCCCTTCCTTCTGTCATTAGAGATGCTTGTCTTATACAAAAAAATGCAAGATACCACCTTTTCTGCTGTTGCTATCTATACCTATTTTAGATTGTCCTGCCAAGATACTTAACGTTTGGGGCATAACAGTGAAAAGAGAGCGCTTTATCATTCACATTTTCAAGAGGAGATTTCTCAAATGTGAGCTGAACATCATCTTGTTCGCACCTGATGCAAGATTCAAGCATATAAAGCTACAATCTACATTAGGTCAAAGCAGGAAATCTGGATAGAATAAGGGAGAAAATGTAAACTACTTTCAAACTTCAGTGCAAATTAGTCTGCAGACACTCTGCTGTAGGGATGAGTAGCTCCCAAGTTTGAACTGTGATAGACGGAGCAGGCTTATTTGCTTGACAGCAATGTAGCATGGCACAGTCGTCATCCCAGGTAAAGGAAGTCTTCTTCCTGACATCCTGAGCAGCATAAAACTTCCAGCCATCTTAGCTCTGTGCATGCTAAAAGAAAAGGCATCGCTGCCAGCTGAATTCAGGATGAACAGTGAGCAACTGGATAGCTGAGCAAAAGTCTTTCAGTAGTTTTCAACTCTTGGCGAAGAATTTCAGTTTAGGTGATAACATTTTGTGGCACGGGTATACATGTGTGTGAAAGCTTTATGCCAGAAGTGGAGTCATTGTCCATAAACTGTCTTCTTTGTCCCATGTATGCGTATTACCCTTCTGTCCTCAGTATTCTCAGTATATCGTGGTCTGTTTTTTTGTTTTGTTTTTAGAATAGATATGCTGGTTTACTGGCTGCTCTGTTAGAGTGCTAGAGGCAAACTGGAAAACTGAAAGTTTTGGTAATGAGTCTGTGCTGATTTAGAGTAATTGATTTAACAACTCGGCTTGCGGTAATAAAGTTCCAGGTAGACCAAGATTATATAAACTGCATTTAAAATCATATCTCTTGGATTTTCACACAGGTTTAAATTACTTGTAAATAGGACTTGGAATAGCTGGCTTAGATATTGCTGAAATGCATGCAAATGAGCAGGCACTTTGGGTTCTTTGTCCTTTTCTGCAGCACACCTCCAGGAGATCTTGAACAGGCATGTGGACAAGAGGATGAGCGTTTGTTGGGTATCCGTTGTCGTGCTGGTATGATATCTGGCAGGCTTTGCAGGCAATTTTTTCTTTTTTTTTTTTTTCTTTTTTTATGGTAGCATTCTGTGTGTTCTTTCAGAATGGAATTTTCTCCCAATTCTTATAAGAACTCAGTGAAGTTCTGTGATGTCTTACATTGTTTGTAATGGAGATTAATTTGAGCTTTTCAGGACCTTGGCTTTTTTTTCACCTCCATGAAAACTGTTCTTTCTGGTAGCTTTTGCTTCTGTCTTCAGACTGTTTTGTACTGCACCTTTCACAAAAATAATGTTCTTATCAACTAGATTTCAATATTTCACATGTCAAAGTAAAACTATTGTTCTTCAGACATCACTTAGAATTCAGGTTGTTACTGAATCCATGAATATTCTGCGCTATTTTTTCCTTAAACTATGCAGTTCAAAAGATATTCCAACATATGCATGCTGTCCACAAATCCTTCAGAATCTCTTAGAAAGGGAACATTCATGTCTTTTTTTTTTTCCAAAGTAGAGGAGTTGATTATTTATGAAATCTGTAATTCAGATGAAGTATTTAGCAGACAATGTCCAAGTCTACGTACAAAATTGATAGCATCTTTCTTAATTTACTGTATGTAGAGATTTGTAGGATGGATACCAAGCATCTTAATATCTCTGCAAAATCTTACAAGATAGACCTTTGATAAATGATTCTTTATAAGACAATGAAATAATTGGTCTTTCAGGAAGACAGAATATATTTTGAATGTCACATCTACCTCTTGTATTTCCTGTAGGCACAACACGGTTAAAAGTAATTATTCTCTCATTTATAGTATTAGTTTCCTAAGTAAAGCACCATCTCAAAATTTTTTTGCCGACTCACCTGTGCCTCCTTGTTATTTGCCTTCCAAAAATTCCTTTTTTTTCCATTTAAACTTCTAAATTAAAAAGCATACATCTTGATGACAGGTCAACTTAGTGAAGAATTATATTTCTTCTGTTTCTTTTGTCTTGCCTGTCATTGTGTTATGACTGTAGAATGTCTAGCACAGTTTATGAGCAAAACAGTAAAGATTCCTTGCACTGTCATAAGTAATATTAGAAGCAATATTACAATTGAAAATTATCGATATGCAAAATCTTTGAGGGAAGAAAAGGGTTGAATATTCTCTAGAGCAGTTTCCATTGCTCAGAAATTTGTGATCATATGCTTGGTGACT